GTGTCTCTGTTATTATTACTATTGGTTTTGTTTCTTTGTATCTGTTTGTAGATTATTTTTTCTGAGGTTTTCGTTCTTGTTAGTCAAGTTCCCAGTTATTAAGAGCCTTCTTAATGTGTCTTTTTGCAGATATATAAGTGTTTCTGTGTATAAAAGGGAAGAGAATCCTGAAGTACACGAGGCTTCGTGCTAGCTGCTCGTGTTTAGGATCGAAAATCACTTGGAATATCGGCTCTTGAAGAATTGAGAATTGATCTTAATACGTGCATTAATATTGAATTGATTATATTTGCAAATCATGATCGCATAAGGATTTTTCAATATTTCTCAATATCATCAAGATCGAACGATACACAAAGTAATTCGAACCTTCGTGTAATGAACAAAGCTTGAAAAGCTTGACATAGAATTGAATGGCCAATTGCAGCATGCAAATACTTTGGAGATAAAGGCCAGTTGTATTTATAATTCCAAAAAATGATATGACCAGCAACCTGGAAACTAATCAGAGTCATGAGTGAAGAATCATAAAAATCTTCAGCGAGATAAATTTATTTAAAACAATGTAAATTCAATATTTTTAATTTTATTCTTTCAACGGTTTTAAGAATTTTCATTTAGAAACTTCAGGATTATTATTAATTATTCTTAGCTTCCTTTGATTTGAAGACTATCTTTGATAGTTTTCTTCCTTTTTTTCCAATCAAAGGAAATAGAATTATATAATATAAATTCACATTCGCCTCAAATTTGCAAAAAACGATTAAACTCTCTCATGTATGTCTGTAATATTAATATATCATATGTTTAAGATTTTATATGTGTATAGGTGCAAGTTGATTGTCAAGTATCTTGAAGTTTTCTTTCCTTATCAATAAGAGTTTCGACTGTCAATGTACACGGCAGATAGAGACGAACATATAGATAAACAGACAGACTTGTGCATGTACATCTCATTATACTCAACAGCACACGCACATCAATTAGACATATGATGCATTATGATATATATCATCCATCATATACACGTTAATAATATGATATATCACAGCAAAACTGGCACATACTGCAACGATTAAAGAGCAAAAATGAGAGATAAAAAGGAGCAAATATCAGCCATATGGAATTTTAAGTATCCATAGCTGGACACACATATATTCCAAGTTATATAATATATACTTTTTCCGTGAGAATCACACAGAATGCAATTAGCGTGTCATTGTTGGTTTGTGATCTGGTTAAGTCATGTTGACAGTTACTCACATTACACATTATTTTTAACACAGTAGATTCCTGTCGCGTAAATTCTTGCATGCAATTCACACGCATAGCACACGTACAAGGTACTCTGAGGCTGCTTAATTCCTGAGTGCATAATAAATTGTGTTGACGTTTCAGTTGTAGATAAGCTTCCATAAAAGAAAAGTTGTCTATGCATTTAAGTTCAGAATCATCGTAGCTGCTTTTTTTTTCTATATTGGGTATATAAAAATCACTTGTTAATATATGTATGTAGGATAATAATGAAGATGATGAAGCTTTACATAAGCTTACATTATTTCTACAATTATATGTAGCTTCTTGTAATAAGAGTAGTATTTGAATGACATATTGTGTGAAGTTTTATTAAAGAAAAAATTTTTCTTATTCCTCATTATTTTGAAGAAAAAGAAATTAAAAGCTGTTAGAAAAAGTTTAAAAATGATGTGAAAATTGTTCATGATGCATTGGCTATTGGTGTATTGATTAAAAATATTTAGAATAAAATTAGCATTTTTAAAATTCAAGATATTGAAAAATAAAACTGTATAAACATAAAAATATTTTTCTATATATTTTTTTTAATAAAAATTATTAATAAATATTTTTGTTTATTATTGATAAAAAAAAGTGGAAAAAAAATAAGATACCTATTTGAAAAATAAATAATGAGACTATATATATATACAAATTCATTTATAAAGATCATAAAAATTTTCATATCATATGATTTTCGTATCATAAGAAATCATTAATCGTTTAATAATATATTACAACATACAAAGCAATTCCTAAATATCAAAAAAAAAAAAAATTAATATGAAAGAATTATATAAAATAGATTAAAAAGAAATTCATAAAGATAGAAATTCAAATAAATACATTATTGAAAAAATTAACATAAAATAAAAATCACTTCGATGATTCTGTTAATGAATGTATATATCTCGGTTATTTTTCGAGACATGATGATTTCTGTTTATAAAAGTTTTATGAAGAGGGACTATAATGTATAACTATAATAGTATTTTTTATATGAATATATTATAGAAGAGTTGAAGATTTCAAAATTATTTATATTAAATTTTAAATATGTTATATAAAATGACCGAGTGTTTTAATAAATGAAATGAAACGAAGAGAGAAAAAAGAATTGTAAAAGCGTACCTTGCCGCGCGTGTATGTGTGTCCGCACACATATATACGCATACACATATATATACGCGTACTTACACATACGCGCATGCATTTTACATACACGTGTGTATATATACATATATTTATGTATATACACGTATATACGGGCAACTTATATACGTACATACATACGCACAGATGTGCATGCAACACCTTAAAATCAATGAAAAAAGAAAAAAAAAATAAAAAATAAAAAATGAAAATGAATACAAAAGAAAAACTTTAAAATTGGATATTGAGAGAAATGTCTTTTAAAATTTTAAGATGATATTAATAAACTCTTTTTTAAACAAAAATAAAAAATCAAAAGATAATTAATAAAATCAAATGAAACATATAAATAAAGAAATATAAAAAATTTCTTTTCATTTTGTACTTGAAGAGAAGAGTAGAAAAGTATAGATGTTAAGAATGCACAATTATTAATAAAAATATAATAAACGAATTAGTAAAATACGTAATAGACAATTATATTGTTTTGTAAATATTACTGATTGCATTTTAAAAAAGAATTATTACAATAATGCATTTTTACACTATATTATACAATTATTTTAAGATTACAGATTAATTATACTGGAAGTATCATTGAATAATAAAAAGAACATATGTAATCAAAGAAACATATGTCACTTTATTTTATGATAACAAAGTTTTAATGATGCAAATATAAGAAAAAATCTTACCATTTATACAATCTGTTACATTATACAATATATTAATACTAATATACTGCTCAATAGCAAATATCTATTTCCTTCAAGATCGGATTGGACATATGTTCATTAAATACAAAATGTTCCTCTCATTATTCTATATTATTAATTAAAAAATATTAAATATAAATATAAATATTTCTATAACTAATTGAAAAATATCAAGAAAATACAGAAAACACTTACTAATAATTCTTTCAAAATTAAATCTGATATGATTGAAATTTAAATACCTATTATAATACTTGTTCTGTTTCAAATTTAATACTGGAGTAAAGTGCTGGTTAAATTCGAGGTAGGGCAGGGTTAGGTTTGAAATTTGGTGTTTAAAGAATTCTCTTCCCTTCAAGACTTATCTTTTTTCTCCTTTCTTTTCTTAGCTAACTCTCTTAACTGAAACAAAGTGACTGATCTTAATTTAAATAACACGTATTGAAAAATACAGAAAGTAGATAGGGACAATTAGAAAAAAATAGCAGCGTGAAACAAGGGACAAGAAAATTATCCAATATATGTCATGTTTTTTCGCTATGTCGCACTGCGGAAAATAAAATAAGAAAATAGCATGATTTGCGCGAACGAAACGAATAGAAGCTCGCGATTCGCAAGCAGAACTGCGACGAAATGAAACAGAGAGAGAAAGATAAAGACAGGCGAGAGAAATACATGTTGAAACGGCAGACAATCAATAAGAAAGAATAAACTGAAAATAAAAGAAAAAATATTACAAATTATATATAAAAATAAGAAGCGATAAATTAAAACATAATTTCAAAGATTAATTACACAAATGAAAGTAAAAGTAAATTTAAATTGGTGTTAAGAAAGAAAGTAATGATTAATAAAGATAGATTTGGATAAAAGAGTAATCAAGTACGTCAAACATAAAGCACCAGTAAGAAGAAAAACTTAAACTGGTTAATGAAAAGAAAAAAAAAAAAAAAAAAAAAAAAACAAAACCAATGAAAATAAAAATCAGATCATAATTATAATAAAGAATTAATATTTAAGAACGGTCAAACAGTGCGGAGATTGGACTTGCGGACTAACCATATAGTAATCCTGAGAGGGGGATCTGCCTGTCACAGATACATTCTGCACCAGAGTTCTTTTGCTCGTCTGAAAGTAGGTTACATATTCAATTTACGTAATTAGCTTAATTGAGTGGGTCTATAATATTGTTTTTGTTTTCTGTTTGTTTTTATAATAATTTCAAAAATGTAATTTCTTTAAGAAATTATATATTGTATAGTTTTATATATATATATAATAATAATAATAATAAAATTTTATATATATATATATACACATATATACGTGTATGTGTGATTGTTGCTTCATAAAACATCTTCTTTTTCAATTCTTTTTTTACCATTGTGCTAGATTAAGAGTAGTGTTATCAGAGTAAGAAGAAAGGAAATAAGAGAGAAAATGAAGTATAAGTAAACAGAATAAAGAAAGTAGAAATTATCATGATTAAACTTTACTCTTCTTTTTCCTTTTCATTCTTTGGACTATGCGATCATTCTGTCAAATAATTTAAACAAATATTAATCGATTAAATATTTTAACACTTAACAAGTCCTTTATCGTATATTCAATAGATATTTTATTAATAATATAGTATTAGTAGCAACGTAATAGTGTAAAATAAGAAATTTACACGATCACGAGCCACAAGTATGGTCAAGTATGCGCTAGCTTCATCAGTTTTAACCCGTTCCCATTAAGAAAAATAAAATAATAAAAAATAAAAGTAAAAAAAATTACGAGAGACGGCATTGATAAAGAAGGGTTGTCCTTTTCCGACTCTCGCTCGAGCATCGATTCCTAAATTTTTAAATGTTAAATAACTCTACAAATATTCTTATATTAAGTGTTCATTTAATTTAACTTATATATCATTAAATAAAAAATCTCAACAAAATATCTATTATAGTAGGGTTCCACTTAAATCTCAATTTTTATTACAGAGAATTTTAATATTAGTTTGTCATTAAAATAATTTATTCCAAAGCAAATTGTTTTTAATTTGTTTCATATTATGTTTCATAATTAAAATTTTTTGGATTAATATTTAAATGGAAATAAAAAGCCTTTCCTTATTTCCTTCAATTCTATGACATTGTCTTCAAGAATCAAAATCTATTTTGCTCAAGAAGAGAATAGCTCAAATTGAACTTTAGGATAGTGAAATGGATTGAAGATTGCTTAAGCCAAATTTAATTCTAAATCATCAAATTTTTGTCTCTATGTCGGGCAAACTAATGATTAACTATCTAAAATATCTATATATATAGCTTTTAGGGTTTTAGGGATTCCAAATAATTAGCTGATAATACTGAAAGTAATACAAGCTGAAGAAATCTATTATAACTACTTTTATGTCTTACTCATCCCTGGTAAATTACCTTTAATAAACTTATTAGATTAATTGCTATATTTCATTTAATTAAATTTATGTTAAAATAGAATGTTTTTTGATTGAAAATAGCCAATAAGGCAACAGAGGTTAACAGAAACCTGTGTACATAAAATAATAAATAAAGATCAATTGATCTAATTTGATTAATCTAATCATTTATTTTCTCATGCCTTAATTTAACCTCTTTCATTTTATTTGCTGAATCAAAAAGTATGATTATGTTTAATAAAGAAGCCAAGTCCTGTATATAATCCTGTAAAAAACATAGCCATGATAGTAATGATGGAAAGATATAATGTCAAAGAGATTATGAAATGAGATAAAATAATATTAGTAATTTTTAATATCTGAATTTTTTAAATTTCTTAAGTCTTTTTTTTTTTTTAAAGAATATCTGAAATCAAGTGATAATAAATTCACCCTTTATAACTATATCAAAAATAATCCTTTATAAATATATGAAAAATAAAATAATCTGAAATATAATCTGAAAAGAAATAAAATAAATAAATAAAATATGATGCAATTAGATATTATATAATTAAATATATAATTAAATGAATTAAAGATAAAAAGCTCTCAAGATTTATAGAAAATTATAATTTTAAGAAAATTAATCATTCCAACTTTATTTCATTTTATAAAGAATTAAAAAAGTCAACAATAATGCCTAACAGATTATAAAGAGATCTAATGAATTTTAGAAAATCCAATAAAAGATTTAAACCGAAACAAATACTGAAATAGAGAGAATGACTTGAAACAAACAACCAGAGAACTTATAATTCTTCAATTCAATCCTTAACATAAGGAGCGCACGATTTGCTTAAACTTTCTTTTAATCTTTTTTTTTTTTTTCTGTAGCTAATGCAGGATATATCGCAAGATCAAAAGGGCTAAAACATGAGGTACGCATCATCGAGGTAACACGGCAAAGAACTCAAATGAAAATGCAAACCAAGGTAAACAACGTTTTCAAACATAAAAAACTAAATGAGAAAAATTAAAAAACGTATATATGTAAAACAAACGTACATATATAATATATTTTTTGATTATACGCCTGCACAGATTATGCCACTGCATGAATGTTTCTTCACAGTAAATCCAAAATTAAAAATTAACATGTGGATATTAATCAGTTGATATTAATTATAGAGATATAATAATTTTTATATCCTTATTTTTTTTTTAATTCAATATTTTTCTATAAAAAATTTTCATGAATAATGTTATTTTCATGAAAAATATTAAACAAGATACAGAACTTCAATTTTTTCTTCATTACTTCTTAACCTCTTACCTGTGAAGATTCATTCACAATATAACAACCCATATTTCGCAAAAGATGGTTAAAAAGAGAACAACATGATTCTATGATGATATATGCAATAATAATCGTTATTATCATAATACGGTCGATGACAAATACATATCGTTCAACAGAAATGCTGAATACAGCCGACTGGTAGCGAAAATGCCTAGAATTCGGAGCCAGAACGACGGAGGACTCATCGAACCGAGGCCAAAGAAAGAAAAAATCGGAACGTCGCGTGTGCGACTGTTCTTTATTAATATTTCTTTTTTTTTTTTTTTAAACCATCTTGTTATTTTTTCTCTTTTTCTCGTATTATTTTGATATTGTTTAACTTTATCCCAGGAACAGGGAGAGGGGAACCCAAGAGAACGCTGACTTCCGAGCGATGGCATGAGAGTGAGAGATAGGGATAGTTACCTGTGTCTGTAGTCGTGTTAGACCACGGATCCATAGAATTTGTCCTGCGCGCGGCTTTTTATCCGAGTCAGGGTCGAATTTCTCATCTCCTAGATTGATCGCACTGATATCATCCGGCTGGCCGCGGCCCCATCTGTTTTTAAAAAACATGAAACCAATTCTTCATCACTCGATCCCTGTTATACACATGGTCTATAATCAAAGTAGGTTTTTTTTTTTTTTTTAAGAGAAAGATTTTGATTTTTTTTTTTTTTTTTTTT